TGTTTTGTGCATTTCTCTAAGAAGTGTGCAAAACTCGTTTCGTACAATTTTATTTTTATTAATTATGCATTACACTTGTTTCTTAAACAAGTATTTATGTATACTAATTTTAGAATCTATGCGACAGAGTGTAAATACTCATCTTCAAATATTCATTAGTGTCAATAAGCTTAACTACAAATTATTAAACATTTCTGGAAATTTGAGACTTGGAAGGGAATCGTCATATTCTGCTACAGTGGGTATTTAAATGTAGATAAATCCTCATACCATAAGTATTTTGTGTTTAATTTTAAAATTTCCATTTCATATTACACAGTCATCTTCAAAGATCTTTGGATACAGGTCAATAAAATTTGTTTCTACCTGTTTACTATTTCATCCTAAACTTGTGGAAGAATTTCCTAAAATTATTTGAATATCCAGCATTTTAAAAAGGAAATTGGACATCTTTACAGTAAAATCTTAGATGAAAGTCTTACTGTGAGTCAACTTCGGAAGACACTGGAAATTTATGGTGGAGGCGAGGTCCCTTTCTTTGCTAAACAGCTGCATTGAAGTGTGAAATGCTATCTTCAATATACTTGTAATTGGCTGATGACTCAGAATAGTAAACTGAAGTTGCTCTTATACTAATGATGTTCCTCTAGTCTATTCTTTCTCTAGGAAGTGCAAATTTTATTAAAGATTTTTGTCTTTATGATGAATTTTGGCCACCAGTGTTATAATTACAATTATTGAGGGGAAAAAACATTAGAGAAGAGCAGTGCAGACTGAGGAAAATTAAAAGGAAACAGGAAAAAAACTTTAGCATTCATATTTTTTATAAAAATCATGTATTCAAGTAGTCTAGTGTACCAAAACTTTTTTAAAAAGACAGGGGAAAAAACTTTACCGTGCATATTTTCTCCAAAAATTGTATGTTCAAATAGTTTTTTTATGAAGTTATGGTAAATATGTTTTATATTTAACAAATGTATCATTTACATTATAAAAGTTCTTATATTATTACTTGTATATTATTGCATAAGTCTTGTTCGTGAGTTGAGTAAATCACATAGTATTATATATTAGTGTAATATCTTTTCTTATGTTTATCTATTATCTTGTCTGTCATTTTATAATATAACCAGCTATTTAAGTTTGCTAAATTAAGCAAAAAAAAAAAAAAAAAAAAAAAAAAAAAAAAAAAACTTAGATTGGTGTAGACTATATAAAAATTCAAAACATATCAAATAGCCCAGATGTGATAAAAATCATTATGAAAACACTGGCTCGTGGAAGGCTTGATTTTTTTAACATTTCACTTTTTTTTTTAAATTTTTATTTTTAAGCACATTAAATTTATTGGAGGGATCCCGGAAAATTTTTTGCATAGGCGTCCAAGAGTTCTAGTTACGCCACTGATCAGAGCCCTTGTTTTTTGAAGGAGGCAGACAGAGATGCACATTTTGAAAGGCCTTGGCATCGATGAATCAATTATATAATTCAAGGGAAGGTCTTCTTTAACCAAATATGGATTTGATATTTTGATCAGAATATGTGATGCTGACTCTTGTTATAATATTGTATGAATGCTTATTGCAGCAAAAAATAAAGTTTGATCGTGAGCAATGTTTTGCTCTAAAACTTGCTAAAAGCAGTAGACATAATAAAGCAGCATCTGATTTGACAGAGTTTTTACTTCTTTCAAACTTATCTAGAAAATATCATTTGCAGCAGCTGAAAACTATAATACAGTAAAAAAAATCTCTGAAACTGAACAGAAATTGAATCAAGGTGAGATTATGTTAATTGATAAAGGCAAAGCAACTTCAGAGCAATGGGTATATAACCAATGGGAGGGATGCCTTTGGATGGCATCCCTCCCATTGCTATATTGTCCTGTAATTGCTATATTGTTAAGATGTTTACTGTCTTGTATAAACAAAAGGTTGGCAATAAGGGATGGCAAGGACTTTTTAAGGCAAGCTGGCTCATACCCATGTTACACATGGGAAAAACCATGAAAACTCCCATGCAGCAAGCCCATTCATTGGAATATGAGCCCAAGTTGAGCTACCAGTGTTGAGTGACTTTACCTCACCCACTGGTGGTATCTAAATCGAGGTCATTCAGTTTTATAAATAATGAGAAGGGTACTATTTCAGCAATAGAGAAAGCTGATGAAGATGTGTATGGTGGGGTAATTGCTATATTGTTAAGATGTTTACTGTCTTGTATAAGCAAAAGGTTGGCAATAAGATTGCTGTCTTATGCAAAGAACTAATACAAAGTCCGTTATCCATACATCAAACTATCAATTATCTTGACAGAAATTTATTGCAAAAGGGGAAAAGAATTAGATTCTGAAAGTAGTGCCTCGCTTTATATGTTTATACTTCATGCACGCACAGTACACATTTTTTCATAATGTTACGAAATGCCCAGCTGCAGTAGGATAGGTTTCCTGTAAAGCGGGGTTTGGGTTGCCAGATTTGGTATGAAATCGCCCATTTGGCGACATTCTATAGACGGAGCAAGAACATTCTAGAACGATTTCTTAACAGACTTAGACTTTTACTGAGAATGTTCTCGAAAGCAAATCAAAAGCTATATATACCCTGCCTGTACGAAGAGTAGACTAGTATCAGGAGCATGCTGAGTTCAGTAGTAGTGACTTGAGTTCAGAGATTAGCTTGAGAGCAATCAACTGAGTCAGGAGCTATACTTTAGTGCTTTGCTGTGAAACTGTCTTCACCATTATAGCTTGATAGTCTGAAGGCTGTGCTGCTGATTGTTTCAGTGTGCTTATCGTATGTTATTTATTTTTTTATGAGTGTAATGGGTCTTTGGAACTATGGAGCTATCTAGTGTAATACTGATGAATAAATTGTATTTTGGTTATTCATTAATTGTTGTCATCAATCACTGCAAATCCACGAACATGTAGAATGCAACAATAATAAAGTATGTGACAGACAGTGCTTCTTAATTTCAGTCTGGCACTAAATTAACATTCTACAAAAGTTCATTGCTGATTTTACACCTACTGAATAACTTATATCTCTGACACCAACCTGACAATAATTTTGTATTATTTGTGCTTTCATCACCATGTCATTGTCAACTCATAGCAGCTTGATAAATTACCCATATACAGATGTCTAAAGCATTCTTTTTTTTTAATATTAGCAAATGAATACCAAACACCATGGTAACCTTTTATGTTAATTGCTTGATGATGATTACAGACTTCAACGAAATGAACTGTGAAGCCTTGAGTGCATAGACAAATTTAAACAAGATTTATTTCCCTATGCAAAAAAATAGACTATATAAATGACATTGTAGGCTAAAAGATTACATTTAATGCTATCTGAGCTGGGGGAAAAAAAAAAGAAAAAAAAAAAATCTGTTATTGAGATAAGCCTTATGTATATGAGAGAATTTATTTATTCAGGCTCAGATATAATTATAATAACTAACTAGATTAGTAATTCAAGCTTAACTTCTGCAATCCATGACAGACGCAGGACACAATTTAGCAGATTACCATGTCTTTAGTTGCCAATCTCATGATACATTGCCAATAGTGCATATACTATCTAAGCATTGAGGTAGTAGTAGTAGTAAGTGTTACTGGCGCAAAACTCTAAAGGTTATCTGTGCTGAATACATGTCAGTTACTTCTTTATACAAATGAGGCTAAGACAAAACAGATGAACAGACAAGATTAAAACCATGGAAATGCATAAAATACAAAGAAGCTGAAAATGATGGATGCTAAGGTGAACTCTCTTAGCATGCAGGTGATTTGTACAGGTGTAAAATCCTAAAACATGAAATATGTTAAAAATTATATTCTTAAGATAACAAGATACAACATTAAAACAAAATCAAATTAAATAATAAAAACTCGACTCTTTCAGGTATTGAAATAAATTAGCATTCACCTTTTTCCCAATTAAACAGTAAAGAGGCAAGTCATATTCCTTAAAATGTTTCAAACGAAGCCTTTTAAAATATGGACACTTAACTAAAACATGATGAACTGAGATGACTGCCTCACAGTGGGAGCAAATTGGTTCACACTCTGCTTTTAGTAAACAGTCATGGGTAATTCGTGTGTGACCAATTCTAAGTCAAGTAAGTAGAACTTCCTCTTTCCGGTTCCTATTTGTATCCCAGTATTCAATTCCAGTTTTCCCACTTCTTAACTTATCTACTTGACCATCCCAGTGTTTCTGCCATTTATCTAATATTTTCTTGTTGACGACTTTCTTGATATCGTTAGGAGGGGCAGCGCAACTGTACATATCGATAGTCGACTTTGCTTTTGCATCTGCTAGTTCATTACCTCTTATTCGTACATGCCCGGGTATCCAGCAGTACAAGATCTCATACCCACACTGCCTTAAATTTTAGATCGAGAATGATGATATTTATTATGGAAGGGTTCTGGGCATCACTAAATGCTTCTAATGCTTTTAAGGAACTACGCGAGTTGGTGTATATTACAAATTTTTTCTCACTTAAAGTGGATATGCATGAGAGCGCACAATAAACAGCAATCAATTCTGATGTAAGAATTGAGCAAGCGTCAGGCAATCGTCTGCCTACAATGTGGTCTCTAATAATAAAAGATATGCCAACATGTCCAGCTGCTTTTGATCCGTCAGTAAATACTGGAATATAACTACTGTAATTTTGCCTGTGCTCAAGAAAAAGCTGCCTGTACACCAACTCATTCAATTCTCTTTTCCCAAGATGTTGAAACTGAATATTTTCCCAAGGTGGCATTTCAAAATATTTTACTGCTTGGGTGCTCAACTGTGTCATTTGATATTCTTCAAGTAGTGAGCGAACCCTCAGCAGAAAGTAGGTACACAAGAAGGTCGAGCATTATGCAGACGCTCACACATATCATCCAACGGATCTGCCTTACAAGGATGGTCAAGTAGAATATCTTAAAATAGTAGCACAGAGACAACTGCTCACGCCTTAAATTTAGTGAAGGTTCATAGCAATCTACATATAGGCTTTGAACTGGAGAAGTTCTGAAAGCTCCAGAACAAATCTGCAATGCCTGATGGTGAACTGGATCTAGTCTTAATAGAACAGAAGGCTGTGCTGATCCATACACAACTGAATCCGTAGTCCAATCTAGAGTGTACAAATGCTCTGTAAATGTGAAGCATTGAGCCACGTTCTGCACCCCAGGTGATATTCGCCAACACCTTTAATATATTTAGTATCTTAAAAGACTTCTTCCTCAAATATTGAATGTATGGAAGGAAAGTCAGCCTTCGGTCAAATACCAACCCTAAAAATTTTATTTCATGTATGACTGGAATTTGTGAGCTTTTGATATAAAACTCGGGCTCAGGATGGACACCTCGTTTGCTACAGAAATGTACACAAGCAGTCTTCTGTTCTGAAAATGCGAATCCATGATTTGAGGACCATGCCTGTATCCTGTTGAGAGCGATCTGCAATTGTCTCTGCACATGCCTCATATCTGCCCCTTGGCAACTTATCTGGAGATCGTCAACATATAAAGAGCCTGAGACACTTGCAGGAAGTTCCTTTAGAACAGAGTTTATTTTTAAACTGAAAAGTGTCATACTCAGAACACAGCCTTGAGGCACACCCTCTTCTTGTACAAAGACATCTGAAAGTACCGAGCTGACCTTTTATTTGACAGGTCCTGGCCTTCAAGAAATTTCGGATAAAGATAGGCAGGTTGCCTCGCAAGCCACTAGTGTGTATGTCACGCAAAATACCGTATCTTATCTTATCATAAGCTTTTTCTACATCGAAGAAGAAGAAGACAGAAACCAGGTGGTTTCTTCTGACAAAGGCTTTAACGAATAGAGGTTTCCAGAAGGAGCATATTGTCGATGGTAGTTCTGCCTCTATGGAAACCACTCTGATATGGGGAGATAATGCTGTTTTTTTCAAGGTAATATACTAGACTGTGGTTAACCATTTTTTCAAACAGTTTGCAAAGACAACTGGTAAGGGCTATTAACCAGTAGTTGGAAGGATTTTTCGGATCTTTTCCTGGCTTTGCTATGGGTATAATTATAGCTTTCTTCCAGGCACTAGGAAAGGTGTGCTCGTTCCCCCACTCGATTATGAAGAGCAAAAAGGGCAGTTAGTGACTTAAAGGAAAGACGCTTCAGCATTTCATAGCTTATACCATCTGGATACAGACTAGATTTATGAGTATGGGAGAGAGCTCTCTTTAGCTCAAACATGCTGAAATCACCATTATAGGGTTCCAAGTTGGAAAAATTGAAACGAATGGGTAACTTCTCGGACTGATGCTTAAAAGAAAGAAAGGCTGGTGGGTAATTACTGCCACTGCAAATGGCAGCAAAGGTCTCACAGATGGCATTTGCTATTTCAGCAGTATTGCTAATCATCCGGCCATCTTTTTCCAGAAGAGAGAGTGAATGGTCTTTATATATCCCACATCCCTTTCTAACTCTTTCCCAAATTCTTTTGCTTGGCGTACAGGATGTTATTGATGACACATAGGCGATCCAAGAATCCCTCTGGCTCTGCCGTCTTACTCGTCTTGCATTTGCTTTAGCTTTCTTGAAGGCAATAAGATTTAACGAAGTGAGGTACATACGAAAGACTTCCCAAGCTTTTCTCTGTTGTCTCAGTGATTCCTGGCAATCGCGGTTCCTCCATGGTTTTGAGTATTTCCGGAAGACTTGTAGATGTGAGAGGTATAGAAATCGTAGCTGTCTGAATGATTGTATGTGTAATAATTTCCACTGCTTCATCGATGAGCCCATTGTTCACCATTTGCTCACTGATTTCGGAAAGTGACAAGAAAAGTTCCCAGTCGGCTCTATCTAAAATGAAGCGAGCAGGTCTCGGACTGGATGAGTCCCCAAACCCTGTAAACGACACGAATACAGGAAAGTGGTCGCTATCTAAGGGATCGTTTCCAACACTAAAAGAACACAGTGGCAGGAGTGAAAGTGAACAGATGGCAAGATCAATGGCGTGAAAGGTCCTAGTTGGCTGATGGAAATAAGTTGATTGACCATTATTAAGCAAACATACTGAATGATCTTCAATTAGCTTCTGAATCTGTCTACCTTGTGCATTAAGATCTTTACTTCCCCAATAAGGGCTGTGAGCATTGAAGTCTCCTAGAAGTACAAAAGGTTCAGGTAGCTGCTCTATGAGATCATCCAAATCTTGTTGATCAATGTGTTCATTCGGAGGCAAGTAAATGGAACAGAACTGAAATTAAAATACTAAAATTAATTTGTATAGCGACAGCTTGGAGGCGTGTGATTAAAAGAACAGTACTTGATGGGTAGTCAAGTGAAGTGAAAACACCAACAATTCCACTGACACATTCACCATTCGGATTATCTTTCCTTGCCAGAGCACATCTCTGAAACTTTGCATGTTCTTCTTGTTTTAGCATTGTTTCCTGTAGTGCAAAGCCCACAGGCTGATGAACATCGATCATCTCCTTGATGTTACTAAGATTTTGGTGGAAACCGCGACAGTTCCAAGATATAAAACTAGTCATTATGTCTGATGTTTGTTTTTGCAGTGCTGTTTCTTAGTTTTCCGCAGGAGGAGATTTTTTTTTTGAATTTCTAGGCCTCTTCAGTTTCCATATTATCTGAGTCAAAAGATTCTGACATCATATCTTCTACAGAACTACTATTCTGATTATCAACTTTATTAGTGCTTTTTTGAGAGATATTTTTCTGTTTGGTTTGAACTACCGTTTCCTTCCTCTGTATCGAATGAGTTGGTTCTTTTTTAATTTTACTTGCACTGCTTTGGGTTTTTAATGACGGAATGTTGGGTGCACTAATAGATGTCTGGGTTGCAATAGATCTTGTTGATTTTACTGCACTGGCAAAAGTTGTATTTGGGCGCAGTTGGGAACTTTCCACTATCCTCCTAGCTTTAACATACAAAATGTTTCTATTCACTTTAGTTGTCTGAACTTCCTTCTCCAGTTTCCCTTTTGGACATGAACGAGAAAAAGCTGGGTGCTCACCCTTGCAGTTAATACACAATGGCACAGCGGTGCGCTTATCACTATCGTGACCAACCATCAAGCACCGAGCGCACGTAAGGTTGCCACGGCAGGACGTCTTAGAGTAACCAACCGTCAAGCACCGAGCACACGTAAGGTTGCCACGACAGGATGTCTTAGAGTGACCAAAACGCTGGCATTGGAAACATCGCATGGGGTTAGGAATATATGGTCTTACAGGGCAGCTTAAATATTTGAAGGTCAGGATCACGTGTTTCGTGTCAGTCAACTGACCTTCCTTACGCATCTTGATCTGCCTAGCACCACAAACGTTTTGGTCAGCTTACTCGGAAGCCAACTCTTCTTCTGAAACACACAGAAGGTCAATTTCTGAGATCACACACCTCTAAAAAAATTCAATTTTATGCGCTGACACAGTTATAGCAACATGTCCAAGTTTGGTTTGTGACAAAAGGGAAGCAGACTGAGTTGCCGAAACAGTATCTATAAGCAGGTCTCTGGAACGGAGATGCTTTATGTTCTTTGGTTCACCTATGCAAGAATGGATATATTTGCTTACTACGAAAGGGAACATCTTTTGCAGTTCGCCAGAGGGACTCGAGACTACAAGGAAGCGTGGACTATCAGTAACTACTTTGGCATTTGCATCGGTACGTATTTTCTTAGTAAGAGATTTATCAATTACCTGTATACTTTGGTCTTTTCGTTTGTTTTGATAAGAAACATAGAAGCCATATTTAAGAAAGAAAATATTCGGGTCCGATGGCCCCACCCACCACGGAGCCCAACAAGGGAACACAGATTCTTGTGTTAGGGCTAGCCAGACCTATACGCAAACTGAAGCCCAACAGTCGGCTTTCCCGAAAGCAGGTACTCATTAGAGCTTATCCCCAAGCCACTGACACAAGGACTAGTGACCAGACGATTGATACCTGTGAGGATGAATAAGGTGCCTCTCGTTTAGCTGAAGCAGAGGCCAAAGCAGTGTGTTGGGGACAGTACCTTGCCCCTCAACTACCAGGACCCTCCTTTCGAGCGACACGGGTCTCCACGCACAGCAAACACGTGGGCAGTTTTCTCGCCACTCGAAAACTAGAAACAATAGCTGTTTTAGCTTCTCGTGACGAGCCCCAACCTCCAAAGAGGAAAACCACAAGGGAGAATGGAAGGAAAAAAGGTATCAGGACAGAAGAGAGGAGACGGAAAAGAGGATAGATCACTGGGGCTCCAGAATCGTGACACCCGTCTCACCAAGAAGATGATTCCCTGAAGGGCTAGGGTACCTCGAGATTGCCACACCCGTACTCACGAAAGTGAGCCCCTGAGTGGCTAAGCATTGAGGTAATGAGCTAAAATGAGACACTACTTGAAATCTGTAGTATGGTTTTAAATGCTGTAGTATGGTTCTAAATGCTATGGATGATGAAGAAAGTGTCAAAGAGCTTGCTGAGAGTGAAAAAATGTCAACTGGCAATTTACTGGTAATTCTCGACTTGGCAATTGCCGGATTTGAACAATGGAGCAAAGGAACTTTGTAACTGAATAAGAAATTTTGTGACGCAACACTTTATACTGAAAGAAATGTTTAATAAAGAAAAAAAAAAAAAAACACTGAGATTTTTTTGGAAAATTTTAAATCCTTTAAGATCATAAATACTTCACTGCTGCATAAACTACTATTTCATATCTTTAATTTTATAATTTCTACATGTCACTTACAAGATTTAAACTAATGATAAAAATCCAGAAAACTCCAAAATTTGGAGCCGCTGAAGTGAAGTCAAAATAAATCTGGATCTCAGACTTTGTACTTTGCTTATGGGTACAGTTGATTGTATAGATCAAATGGCAAACATGTATGAGAAACGAAATGTATGAAACGGTGGGGAAAGGTTTTCAATAAACTGCTAACGATATCAGTCATAATGCCCTCATTTTGATGAAATCAGTTGCCACAATACACAATTTGTTGAGTTTCATCTTATTGTTGAAAGATGTCTCAAAACCAGAAAGAATACATACTTCCATTACAAAAGGCCAATTCAAAGGAAGTCAAAAAAATAAATAAATAAAAAAAAAGATTTCTTCTGAATATAGATTAGATGCTGAAAGCAGAAAAAAAGAAACAAATGTGCTAGATGGATGAAATGGATGAAACATGAACTATAGTTTGAAAATATGCAATATATCATTATGCAAGAAGTGCTTTGCCCCATATAGTACTTAAATGCATTGCTATAATAAAGAAATCTTCATAAGTTTTTTTAAACATATTGTATATATATATATATGTATGTATGCGTGTATGTGTGTCAAAGAAATTCAGAATATTTTCTCAGTGAAGCACAGATTTTTCATAGAAAATTCAGTAACTAGCGAGTAGATATACTCACTAGTTACTTAATTTTCAATGAGATCTGACATACTAACTTGTATAATGAATTCTCATAAATTTAAAATCAGATAATTTGAAGATCCAGTGAGTTTGGACAGAAAATAAACTCCCAAATCTCACTGAGAAGAAATAATTTCTAAAAAAGTTTTGACACTTTGATCAGTTTTAGCTAGTCTCTACTGCTTGAATTTATAATAAGTCTAGGTTAGATTTATAAATAAAGGAACCTTAACCCGTGAATCTTGAAGTGAAATTTCAGTACATTCTAAATTATATTAACTGTGAGATCAGAAGCTCCACATTACAATTTACAAATGAACTGAAAACTTTAAAAGTAATTACAAATATTTCACTTACGGAGATACATCAACTTCTAAATACTTTTCGTCTTGTCCAAGAAAGAAAGCTTCCACAACTGTAAATAAACATCTAAGACTATATATACATATTAAGTAACACAGACTTCTAGATCAGAGCATAAAATGTAACAACTAACATGCAATTAATGAGAAAATATTAGCACATTTATTTTAAATCAAAAACTGATACTCTGAAGATTATCTAAATAATGTGTTTAGGCAATATATCAAACTAGTAAAACCCGATTCTCTAATGAATCGAATAAATAAATGCATGAAACTGTATGCTATGGTATGATTTGCATAGATATGAGAAAGAGAAAATCAAAAAGTAGAGAATAAACAAACTTTATTTGTAAATACATTTGAGATTTGGCAATAAGGTTAAATGAAGATTAAATTAAATAATATTAAATAGAGATAGTAAATGAAAGTAGAAAAATTATTTTATTGTTTTATTCTTCAAAATAGCAGCACAACAATGAGCAGTAAAGTTAACAAAATTAACCAGGAACATTTATCAAAAACTTCACTGTACAGAATGTTTGAGGTAAAAACATTGTAAAATTCAGATAGCCCTCCTACAACAGGGCATCCTGTAACACGTTTTCGCTATAACATGATTCATAAATTGCAAGAACCCTCCTGACAAGAAAATTGCCCAAGCAATCTGAAAAAATTTAACGAATTCTGCACGAAGATTTTTCATGTTGAGCAAAGCACCCCTATAGTCATTTAACACTTAAGATTCCTTGTTTTGTAAGTTCTGTCAGTTTTCTTTCAAGATCCGGTACCAATAAGAACAAATGTCCTCAGGGAGATGAACCACATGGTGGAGAGCGACCGTTGAATTCTTAACAGGTAACAGAGGAAAATCTTTTCCTTCCATGACCTTCAAAGCATAATAGCACAACAGAAACAATACCCAGTCTCAAGAGAACACAATCACCAGATAATAATAAAGAAACCTCACTATAGCAGAAAGTGAACAACATGAGGTCACAATAAGTGATCTAAAAATGCATAAAGTGCACACTCGGCTTCCAAAATTCTAATCCTCATATCTGTGGCCTGAAAATAAAAGTGTCTCACCCTGCTGGTTGGCAGTCTGCATCTAGCCACGGTGTGTTAAAGAATAACTTTTACATCTTTAAGACATTAAGTTTCAGTTATAAAACATGTCGAATAAAGACAAAAAAAAAAAAAAAAGTTTGAGAGGAAATTTCTTTCTGTAGAAGTAAAGATACAAATTTTGGATCATCTTTTAAAAGGAGAAAAGGTATCTCACATTGGAAGAAGTTGTAATTTGAATGAAGCAACAGTCCAGACTATTAAGAAAAATGAAAAAGAAATAAGAAGTGCAGTTGCTGCAGGATCTCCGACATCCGCAAAACGTGCAGTTCGCCGATGGGCGCCAATAATTGAGAAGATGGAAAAGGCTCTCAGCATTTGGATTGATGATAGCTGTCAAAGAAAAATTATGTCGGATGTTAATATCATTAAACAAAAAGCACTCACAAATTTCAAGCACCTTAAAGAACACGGAGGATCCTCCGTCAAGCCAGATTTTTCTGGCAAGTAAACGTTGGTTCGGAAATTTCAAAAAGCGTCTTGCAGTTCATAGTATAAGGAATTCAAGGAGAATTTGCATCCGCTGAATATGAAACTGCTAGAACATTGATTGTGAAGCTAAAGATTGGCTTTTAAATTGTTTTGTGCCAGATGATAAATGTTATTTAAGGCAGAAAAATTGAGCTTCAAGGCACTATTATTATTAGATAATGCTCCATGTCAACCACAAGATTTGAATCATTCCAACATCTAATACTGTGCTTACCACCTAAACTACTTAGTTACTCCAACCATTGTATCACGGTATTATACCTTTTAAACATATTACATAAGAAGAGAATTACAGTGGATTTTAGAACTAACCAATTCAAAATCAATTAATGTAATGAAAGCTTGGAACACGTTTTCAATCAAGCATTGCACTAACATCATATCTTTGTCTCTGAAAGAACTGAAAGCATCAATGTTAAATGCATGTTAGAAGAAGATATGGCCCTCTTCAGCTGAAATAGACTGTCTAGCTCCATATAGAGAAATTTACATTGGCCTGGTAGGAACTAGTAGAAAAGTAAAATTACAGATTTTTCAAAGAAAGAAGAAAATACTAGAACTTTAATTGAAGAAAGAAATTTTGAAAGTGAAAGTGATCTCATTCCACCGAAAAAACGTTCTCGGTTGATTATACTGAGCAGTAACAATGAAGAAAATTAAACTAAACTTGGCTTCAGTTAAAGTATGTAATATTTTTTTGTTTTGTGTTGTTTATACATATATGTGTTTAATAAAAATTAAGTTGTTTATGTAGAATTAACAAATATTTGATTTTAATAAGTTTTCGGAATATAAGCCCCCATTTTATACGGGGATCTCATACAACATGGTTTCACACAACATGGCATTTTCTAGGAACCTAACTACCGTGTTGTACAAGGATTGCCTATATTAATAAACATTCAGCAGCTGAGAGCACCTGTTGCACACATTTTTTTCTCTTCGCCTTTTCTGATACAAGCTATATAAATAATTATTAAAGAATAAATTTGAAATACTGTTTATTCAATTTAATAAAATTCTCTGAACAGTTGCAGTTTCTATGCAATATTTCAAGAAAGTGTATATGGCTTATTAGCAGTTTTCTACAACACTAGGTAAAATTCAGCCAACTCTTCTTAGTACCTAAAGTCTCAGTGAAAAATGGTTGACTTAAAACCTGTTTCCCATTATTTTGATACACATGGTATGGTAATTGTTGAACATTTAAAATACCGTGGTTCGAAAAACAAACATTTATTACAGAGCAGTACGCAAAGATACACGCAGAGAGCGAAGAAGTTTACAGAGGTCATATATATTACTTAATAACAGATCACGTTTTAACAAATCATAAACAAGACACAATAAACAAACAGTCAAAAATAACATAAAGAAAATATAAACAAATAGAATGGGATTATTTCATTTTCAGAATACATCGGACCTGACAGAAAGCTAATGCATCGGACGTGACAAAAAGCTATACTTCTTTTTAACCAAAAAGAATATGATTACAAATATCTCAACACTCCCCCTTAATTGCACATTATAGAAAAGATAGAAGAATGACACATTTTTTAAACAGCTTAATGACAATAGTTCATAGAATTTTGTTTTGGACAGAGCCTTAGTTAACATATCTGCGATTTGTAAACTTGATTGCACATATTCAATTTTAATATTATTTTCTTTAACAGTCTTACGAGTGAACTTTAATTTTATATCTATATGTTTCAACCTACCTGAAAAGTTTTCATTAACAATACTTTTAATACATGACTGGTTATCTTCAAAAATATAAACATTTTTAACACTGGAAATTACATTTACTATATTTTTTTATCCTGAATACCTTTGCATAAAGCAATTATTTCAGCTTCTGTTAATGAAAGTGCAATACACTTTTGCTTGTTACATCACCACATAATAGGACAGTTTGAAAACATTATAAAGTAACCAGTAATTGATTTCCTATCATGAGTAATCTCCAGCCCCCAATCTGCATCTACATACAAACAGAAGTTTGCTCCTTCCAAATCATCCTTTTTGTATATATATTTTTAATTTAAGGTGATTTTCAAGTACCTAAGAATTTCCTTTAGAACTCTCTTCCTTTTTCTCACTAGGCAACATCAGTAGGATGCTCCTGCAATTGGCTTAAGCAATTCACCACAAATAAAATATCTGGCCTTGTGTAATACGAGGGCTGTTCAGAAAGTATTGAGACTGAGTTTATTATGAAATCAGGTTTTTGAGTCAATCTTCTTCGAAATATGCTCCATTGGCAGTAACACACTTGGCCCAACAATATTTCCAGTCCTCAAAACATTTCTGGAACTCCGACTTTGGGATGGATGGCCTGAAGCTTCTGCGTCGAATTCTGTTTTATGGTCTCAATGTCCTTTTAAGGTGTTCTTGATCTTGGGAAAGAGGAGGAAATCTGGAGGTGACATGTCCGGCGAGTACGGAGGATGTGCTACTTGGATTGTTCTGTGTTTTGCTAGGAACTGCTGCACAAGATTGCTGGTGTGCGCTGAGGCTCTGTCATGATGAAGCATCCAACGACAGGACGCTCCACAGCACCAGGTCGTTTTCTGCGAACAACCTCTCTTAACCTTTTGAGGCCGGTGCTTTGGTAGCAGTAAAAGCTACCAAAGGATGGGAAATCTTGAACTGAATGCTTTCCCCCCTTTAAGAAATCACCTCGTATTTGCAACAAGGATTCTCATGTGTAGTTTAATGGATTCTCAGAGGGGTGTATCTATGTTGCAAAAGAAAGACCTTTGAAAGAGATAAGTAATTAAAACCCCAGGGACGTCAAATTTGACATTTCACCCCACTTTTCAGCCTAGAAAATGGGGGGAAAAGACATGGCCACTAAAGTGGACAACCCCATCTTTTCAAAGAGAGGACTCTATGGCCACAATAATGGCCATCCCGTCTTCAAAAGGTTAATCTCATTATGACGTTCCAAGAGAAATTCCTTGTTCACTGTCTGGCCCTGGGGAAGCGTACTCATGATGAACAATTCCATCTGCATCGAAAAACAAAAGGCAACATGACTTTGATCTGGCTTCGCACCTGCCGAGCTTTCTTTGGCTGAGGAGACCTGGGGCTTTTCCATTGTGACGATTCCTGCTTTGTTTCGGGATCGTATCCGTAAATCCACGACTCATCCCCAGTGACGATGAGCTTCATGAACTCCGGATTCTTGCTTGCACTTTGAAACAAATAAGATGAGATTGCCAGTCGTTGGAATTGCTGATCCTCAGTGAGGAGACGCAACACAAGCTTTGCAGAAACTCGGCGCATGTTCAAGTCCTTTCTCAAAATTTCATCACATGATCCTATGGAAATGCCACACTCCTGTGCAATTTCTTGGATTGTTAAACAACGATCAGAGTGCACCACAGCCTGCACTTGTACAATCTTGTCCTCATTGCGAGGGGTGGACAGGCATCGAGAATGGGGATCACCGTCCATTCATTTCCAACCCTCCTTGAATCGCCGGAACTACTTGAAAACCCAAGCACGACTCATCGCCTCATCTCCAAATGCTATTTTCATCACCTCGTAGGTATCGGTGCTCGTTTTCTCGAGCTTAAAGCAAAAATTGATACAGATTCGCTGCTCCGCGTTTTCAACGAACGCATGCAAACACTCCACATGAAGGAAGTCAGTGTGACTAAACAGCGTGCTGTACAGACCTGCCGATTTTTTTGAAACATGTGCATGCATGATGCGCACAGTCCCACCGCTAGAGGTTTTCTGGAATAAATATAATAAATTCAGTCTTCGATACTTTCTGAACAGCCCTCGTATATGCTCAGTAAAGTAAAGATCCAATTAATTCTTTCTATGGGCCATGAAATGCATTTTCTCTCTGAAAATCAGCTGCTGTAGATTTTGGTTCAATGGGAGTTTGGGCAGTTTTACAATCAGACATTTTAAATTTATCAAGTAATTTTTCAATACATGGTTTCTGATCTAAATATAAACAAATGGACTCAAACTTCAGTCTAATGCCTAAAAATTCTGAGACAATTTTAGATTTTGACATTTGAAATTCTTTAGATAACAATGATATTATAATACTTGTTTCTTTTCATCTGAACCTGCAATTAATAAGTTATCCACATAAAGAGGCATAATTACTTTCTTACAATTTAGATTTCTGATGAAAATACATGGTTCAGAGTCCAATTGCTTAAAATCTAATTTAATAACAAAATTAAGAAATTTCTCACACCATTGTTAAGGAGATTGTTTAAGACCATATAAACTCTTTTTAAGTTTACATTTCTTACCACTCATATCATCATATCCTTTTGGCTAGTCCATGTAGATGGTTTCATTTCACTTACCGTTTAAGAAAGCTGTCTTGACATCTAAAGTAAGCTTGTAAACCTTTATTATTGATAATTACCAGGATTTAATGCAAAGAGCACATACTAATTACTGGAGAAGACGTGTCTGTATAGTCTATGCCTTCCTTTTGCATGAAGCACGAGCAACAAGCCTGGCTTTATAAGCTCCATCTCGTTTTTATTGTAGAACCTATTTGCAGGAAATGGCTCTTTTATCAGGGGGTAAACTTTGTAGATTCCAGACGTTGTTATCTTTCGTAGATTTCATTTCCTCGCCCATAGCTCTTTTCAGAGCAATACGCAGAGATACATGCAGAGAGTGAAAAAGTTTACAGAAGTCATATATAAATATAACTTTACAACAGATCATGCTTTAACAAATAGAATGGGATTATTTCAGAATACATCGGACCTCGCAGAAAGCTAATGCATCGGATGTGACAGAAAGCTATACTTCTTTTTAACCAATAAGAATGCGATTACAAATATCTCTACAGTAATAACAAAGCTTTTCAAGTTGTCACTTACATTAAAGCATCGCTCTTTCAAAGCTCCATGGTACCTTCACTATTTTCTATAAAAACATTTCACTTATTTAAAGAACTCAGCTTATTATGTCATTTAAATTTATACTTTTATTTGCAAACCAAGCAAAATCATTCAAATTCAAAAACTAATGAGCCCAACAGGCTTGGACAAAATAATCAAGAATGCCAAAAGTTCTTTAATTTCTTCCATGCTAAAGTATTCCACAGAGCTCTATGGAATTGCACTTTAAAGAATGAAATCTAGTTCTTTTTCCAGAGCTGGCACCACAGCCAGTACAACCAGTGCAGTGACACTGGGCTGCAGAAATTAGGGGTGGCAAAATTTAGATAGTTTGCGGAGGTTTCATGTTTTAGTGCCGAATTCAGGCTTAAAAAATTTCAAATTAGCGATCTGTAAGAAAACGATTTCCAGATTGTAGGCACTTGTGCGAGTGATTTGCGATCTCACATTTTCTAATTGCTAATTCGTGATTTTCACGGACGAATTTTCTCACTTACACGGATGGCGCACTCGACTTTTATCGAATTTAACGCCTTTAAATGGTAATTTGCTTACTTCAAAGTTTCTTAAGGGTATACAACATATGAAACCCGTGGTGTGTAACAAGGTTTAAGTTAGATTCCGACCCATATTCGTTTAACAATATGCATACAGCTCCATTTCCCCCTGGTTTCGAACTTCCTTTTTTCCGGAAAATAA